GTTGTTCTCACTTCTGTACCCTGCCCCGACCGAAACAATTTACTGTTTCCCCGGGATTCGAACCCAGGATCTATTACGCTTAACGCAATGCTAGGCAACACGTTTAACCATTTAGCTACAGAGGCAGTCATATGTATGATACTGCTTTATAAATGTAATGTATTTAATATCGTCTTTTCGTTTAACTTAAATAGTTTGACGATTTTTTTAAATTGTTGATACTACTTAAGTATATACTTAAATATTGCCTGTAGATTACGCGTGCACATTTAAATAAAACATTTTAACGGTTTTAAACGTGATATATACTTTACTTATGACCACGGCTGCTGCAAAACATCCGAAACGTCGGGTCGTTGTTAAAATAATCTTCAAAGAACTTTAACTAATATATATCGCGTTTTAAACCGTTAAAGTGTTTTATTTAAACTAGTTACTGTTAGTTACCAAAAAAAAGGAGGAAAAAAAAAAAAAAAAAAAAAAAAAAAAAAAAAAAAAAAAAAAAAAAAAAAAAAAAAAAAAAAAAAAAAAAAAAAAAAAAAAAAAAAAAAAAAAAAAAAAAAAAAAAAAAAAAAAAAAAAAAAAAAAAAAAAAAAAAAAAAGGGGGGGGGGGGGGGGGGGGGGGGGCGCCCCCCCCCCCCCGCCCCTTTCCCCCCCCCCCGGGAAAAAAGGGGGGGGGGGGGGGGGGGGGGGGGGGGGACCCCCCCCCCAAAAAAAAAAAAAGGAGGGGGGGGGGGGGGGGGGGGGGGGGGCCCCCCCCGGGGGGGTTGGGGTAAAAAACCCGGAGGGAAAAAAAAAAAGGGGGGGGGGTGGGCGGGGGGGGGGGGGGGGGGGGGGGGGGGGGGGGGGTTGGGGCACAAAACCAAAAAAAACCCAACCCCCAATTGGTTTGGGGGGGGGGGGAAAGTTTGGGGGGGGGGGGGAAAAGGGGGGGGGGGAAAAAACGCCCCGGGGGAATCGAAACCAACAAGTTAATGGTTAATTATCATTGGGTCGTACTGATTACATTGCTACCAATACACCAACGAGCACACACCATATCCCTAAATAGAATATCTATCCGTGAATAGAATCCAGAACCGTGTCTAACACGATGATCGTTTTAGCGTTTCAGCTACGACATAATCATCGATTAGCCTTAGAAGTTTTAATATAATTATTTAACGTAAGCGCTTGACCGCCGTAACTTATAAACAGATGTTTTGTAAAATGTCGCAAACATACATAAATTCTCACTTACCCCGATGCCTTTACTTAGTATTCTATGCTATAAATGAGACTCGCTTTATTAATTTTCCTTTCAAATCAAATTCATTTTCACGTCAGTCAATAACACCTTTGCCACCCAACTGTACAATTATTACCTTTGAATTGGAGACAATGTAATTAAAAATTACGTGGGGTAGAACTACCTGTTTGTTAGCACCTTGAAGAATCCTTACGGTTAGAGAAAATATGTTTCAGTAAATTTATTTTCAATAAATACATAGGCTTGCATATCATTGTCTTTCGGGCTGTTTGGCCGATGTGAGCGAGAAGATCTCGACGTTTCGCCATCACGTGTGGACGGCATCATCAGATGTTAAATCCTCGATTGCTCGAAGAATTAAGCCTTACACAATTTATTAAAGTACTTTTTATTGTGATCTTTTAATTATATTTATCTTTTAACTATTATTACCTAATCTAATCTATTTTATTTGATATATTATATTGTAAGAAGAATTGGCATCTTATCATCAACCCTTACCTAGTTCCCACAGCTGAGACACGGTTTTATATAATGGTCGTTACAATGAAAGCGTCACAGGTTCACAATGATAAGTATTTTCATGCATGACCAGAGATCGAACCTACATCTCAACATCGGCGCACAATCTACTAAACCAACATGGTAGGTCTAAACCAATAGGAAGTAGGAATGATGGTATCATTGGGTCGTGAGTTCGATAAACACCGGGTTCAACATTTTTCACAGTCACATTTATGTTAGACTTGGTCTGGTAATCTGGATATTAAATGGATGGTAGGAGTATCTAAATTCCGTCCTAGCCTTGTTATATCGCGTTTGTGGATTTCCGAATATCCAAAGCCTAAAAAGATCGACAGCGAATCTTGTTTAGATATTATATGGCTGGGGTATTACACGTACCATCAAGTCTGCTGCATGCTGGTTCGTCTTACTTTTTTATAAAAAAGGCGCCAAAAAAGCGGACCTCACTTATCATATCCATTCTTTGAATGTTATAAAAGAAGTTACTTTTAGGTTTAAATTGAAGACGTTAAAGTAACGCTCCTGTAACGCCTCCTAGATGTGGAATACACCTGGCAAGCAGATGGCTGTCACTTCTGTTCCACGATTTTAATCCCTTAATTATTATTTATAAGGAATCATTAATAACTTTGAGGCGTTTAATCTTTGCCGAGTAAATAACGTTGTTACACTTGTCACACTATTGATAAAGGATTAAGGAACGCGTTTTAAGAAATGACTGAGTAATTCGAATAAATTATAACTTACTTTTATTTCAATTTGTGTTTATGCACTTGAAAGTAATAAAATAAAACGCTAAATTATAAAATCAGATTGGACACAATTTTTATTTTACAAATTAAAATTTATTTCAACTATTGTTTTTCATAGAACGTCAGATCGAATAATTTAATATTCCAAATTACTAGAATAAATTAAATACTTTCCGTAATTTACACGAGTTGTACACACTTTTAACAGTTTAAAACGCGAAATGTTGAATAACAGCCGTACAGTCACGCGGAGTCGGCGGCCGTAGTAAAAGTAATTTGTAAATAAATTTAAAGTTTTGTGTTGTAAACCGTTTAAAGAGTTTTAGTTAATCATATTGACTTTTTAAGCCTTCGATAATAATGATAGGATGTGGAAATGGCTGCTGCATAGTATGCGAAACGTTGATCCGCAATTAATATAATTTCTAAATATTTTAACTAATTCATTTCGCGCTTAAAACCGTTAAAAGTATTTTTCAAATAAGCAATTATTATCTAATAATAATATTTTAGTGACTATTTTGTAAGGCTTTGTTTATATTATGTTAAAAGTATATCCTATTTCTTGATAGGTCCAAACTATAAATTAGAATGGTTAGTGGTTAACAGGAGGCTATCATTCACAAATTATACTCCACATCGGTATTACCTAAGACCAACCGTGATTAAGAAATTACAGATGTTTATATGCTTACAGGCACTTGGTAGACAATAAGGTAAGTACTTAGTCATTATCAGTTATACCTACTCACGATCTACTCCAGTAATTAATAGATCCTTTAGGTAAAGTATCAAAACATGTTTAAATAAAACATTTTAACGGTTTAAAACGCGATATATTGACAGACAGACTCCCCGTGATCACGGCTGCTGCAAAGCATCCGAAACGTCGGGCCGAAGTTAAAAATCATTTTCAAATAAGTTTAACTAATATATCGCGTTTTAAACCGTTAAAATGTTTTATTTAAATGTGTACTACTCGCGTAAACTATAGACTGTATTTATCAAAACATGTATTATTTTATCACATCGCTTACTACAAGTAGTTGTAGTTTAGATAAAAAAATACATGCGCGGGATTTGAACCGGCATCTGCAGCGTACCGTACCTTTAACGAATTGAGTAACTGTGTCTAAATAGATTTGAAATCCACTTAAAACTGTTTAAAACATAATCTTAATATTTAAACGGTTAAAGTACACGCTTCACTTGTTTAATTATCTATATAAAAAAAATAGAAAAGCTTCGAGTACTAATTCTATTTTTATTGTCTCTATATCGGTAAGCTTCCGGCTTCTTAAACAAAGATTCAGTAATCGTTGCTAAACCAAATTTAAAACTAAGAAAATTTATTATTATTAAATACTTCACTATTTAATTTTTTACTTTTTTATTTATACATAACATAATTATTATGGTCTCGCACAAAAAGGGTAACGCTCGCAAAGCATACTGTAAAAAGTGGAATCGAAAACCGTTACTCGATCGCTAATGGCATCGAAAATTCACGGCAACAATCGATTGAAATTTATCGATATAACACCTATTATTCACCTCATAAATTTAATCGAATCGACTTAATAGGCCGCGACTAATTTTTGAATGCGTCTTTCGTCACGCCCGTAGTTTTGCTCAGCCCCATAGCATTCTTTACGAAATTCATAGCAGAGCACAAGAGTTAAGAGTTTTACACTAAAACTAAAACTCATTCGTATGTAATTTACATACGAATTAGCAATTAAAAATCGATTTTTGTTTAAACCGTGTACACGTACCTAACAATACGGCGCAAGGATTCTTCTGCCCGTGTCGTAAAATTATTTCAATCTAAAATCCATTTTTAATTTATATTTAATGCCATCATATGCTATAACTTGTAAAAAACATTTTAAAGATTTCAAGTTAGCAACATTTTAAATAGCGATATATACCTATCTACCTATCTTTCGTTCATTGTTTAAGGTGTGAATTATTTTCTTTGATCTTTATCCTAAAGAAAAACACTCACAACATAGTACCACCATTGTTATTAAATAATCCTAATGTATTAACTAATAAAATATGCATTTATTGTTTGTTGTTCAAATATAAAAGGTTAAAAAATATTTTTCTTTTAAGAAATGAACAACATTTTTAATAGCAATATATTGTTCGTTTGTTGTTTACGTGCCTATGAAAGCTTGTAAACTTTATCCTTACATAAAAAAAAAATATGAGTTAAAGGAAATACTGGGTTCCATCATTGGTAGGTAAAAAATCCTAACATATTCATATACCTAATAGGAATTTTCGTTCGTTCTTTAAGTATTGAAGCTTTGAATTATTATTTGAAATCTTTATTCCCATAATAAAAAACAACGCGTATCTTTAGTTCCAAACTCTTACTCCCAAATATTTGACGGCTATTTTTATCATCACACATTATAGGTGTTTTTGACACATTTTGATGATTTGACAGTTTATGTGTGATCGGCCTACCTCTTTCCATTTCTCCGTCGCCGCTTCGTGGCGTAGACGGTCCCGAGTTGGCTGGTATGGGGCTGCGGCGGCCGGAGCAGGCTGCTGTCCACGCCGTCCAACGCGTAGCCTGGCCCACTCCAGCCGCACACCAATTTGGACTCCGTGCCTATCTTGCCGGACAGGCCCGGCGTCTCCTCAACGCACTCCGGGAACGCGTTGGGATACACTGTGTCCAGTACTGAGACGAAGTTCGAAAACAATTTGTCGTTTTTGTTGCTGTGTCCGTTGGAATGTTCCTTGATATCTATGGTTTGGTTGTCCAAAAGCGTTTGTAAATGTACGTCCAACGTTTGGACGAACTACTGGGTAAGTAAGAACTAATGTCGTTTTTGGCTATCGACACGTCTGATAAGGAATCAGCTACCGAAAAAGTGCTTCTTTTTATCGTTCATATTTCGCCACCATTTTTAGTATCCCGAATCGATAGTGGTTGGAGGTGGTCTTCGAGGAAATCGGGGTGCTATGGAGGAAGTCGCCGTAACGGAAGATCTGGTCAGTGTTCACACACACAATATGTTCACACGTTTCGTTTCACGTAACACAAGCACATGGCGTTTTTACATTTGACACAGACGCACCGTGTACGCGTGGCGCGGCCGCCGAGCGCCTAAAGCCATTTGACCAGATGCTCACAAAGAACCCCAACTGGGTGGGCGGGGTCACGGACGGCCACACCCACATGCCGTAACCCACCAATCGGATCGCGCCGACGCTCGGCTCGCACTGGGATGCACTCTGCGTGGTTTTTATTTTTCTTGCTCGTCGCGATTTCTTCATAACTTTTTCTGTTATTTCTTTAAATCGCTTCTATTCGGTGGCTTCTGAAATGCCACTACTGACGTTTGCGAGGGAAGAAATATCATATTGTTTATACCTTTTTGTACGGATAAGACTGCTGATTGTAGATTGTTTTCGTTGATAATCAAGATTTCGCGAGCGTTTTTATACGCTGCTATAATTTCAATAACAGTTTTACAATTTGGCTTTTCTTTAGTATTTAAAGGTAAAATAAACTCATTAATGCTTATTTATCTATGTATCTAGGTACATAACATACAACATAACACATATTACATTTGATCTAATTACAAGTAGAAATAACAAGCTTATTTCCATGTAAGCTCTATTGTAAACTTTATCAACAAAAACGTTCATAGTTGAAGTGTAATGGGGCACAATAAAAGGGCCGTAAAATACGTCCCCCGTGAATGGTGGTGACGTCACAAGATGGCTGCCGTATGGGGAGATTTTCCGCATTTTCCCCTCGGCCGGCGGCCGGCGCGGTCATGCGGCCTTCCGATATTTAGTTCCCTAAGCAACGATCATAGACAGTTTAGTATACCTATTACCTAAAAGCAACTGAGATTTTCTCATCATACAATCTAAATGGTATGTTATTCCTAACACATATCTACTTAACAAGCCTTTTTTATTTTATATTCTTCTGTAATTGCCTGTTAGAGACTGCTGCTTAGCGGTGAGGCCGTCTTTTATTTATAAGTAAACCTATTTATGTTATATTTTTTGTTTTGTGGTATGTGTTATAAATAATTAAGCTATAATGAATAATCAACAAAATTCTAACATTTTTAGACGTCACAAATTTCCTTCACAATAATTCGTAGTAGGTACGTACTTAAAATGTTTTTAAATTTTAAAAGTCGTAGGTATTAGTTAATTTTGACAATTACTCAAAGTTGAAAACCTCTGTATACCTAGGCTATATTTTTTTATATTTTTATCTCACGGAAGACGAACGTATCATTAAAGTACAATCAAAATTTTTAATGAGCTAATAGATGATATGCAAATAAAGCAAAACCTTAACTTATGGAATATTAGTATTAATAAATATTTAATGCTTTTAAATAATTGGTATAGGATTTGTCAATACCCCCACGTCTCCTAGACCGCGTTAAACCAACGGTTCTTCTTAAAATCACTCATTTATAAAGCCCGTGGGCTCTTAAATTCTCCTTCTTTTGACAGACATCACCTATGTCTCGAAGGAGATTAAAGTAAAATCTCGTTATCTCTTCAGTCGTTCTTCTCTCGTTTCTCTGATTTTTTTACAGGCAACTTATTGGTCAAGTAGCTGTGCCTTACCCAAAACATGACTTCGAAGCCAGGACTTCTCGCATAGGTAGGCAACACGTTTAACCATTTGGCTTCAGGAACGGTCTAGAAGGCAGTTAGTGAATATCTTAGAAATCAGTTGCTATGCCAAATCACAAGTCAATAGTCGCAATAAAAAGTCATATAGAGGAGAAGACAGGGTCCCCGCTAGTTGTGCCCTATCGTTTTGATTTATGCCCCACCCTCATAACATCCCCGACGTAAATCAGACGAGAATTACCTAAAATCACGCATTAACAAACTACTTTTGATTGTGTTTGGTGCAAGCGGGAAGTGAGAGCGATTTTTGATATGAAAACTGCAAAACAACAATATTTAAATTGCACGCCGACTTTTAACGATATTATACACATTGCCAAATTGCGTTATATAAAAATCATTAATCTTACCAAACCGTAAAAAATATTTTATTTTGTGTAACCAAACCTTGCTTTTAGTACTAATAGGTCTCAAAATTAAAGCCATCTCAAATTAAGTATTTTAAAAAATTTCGTTTAAAATTTTAATAGTCAATTAAATATGTTCGACATGGGCGACAGCACATTTTGTTAATTCTAATTCACCTTTCATCCCAGTCCGTCCTTGTCTATCAAAAAATGAAACATATATAACACAATAGTTTTATGATTGACTACGGGCTAGGGGGAGTCACTAAAATAGTAGTTAATATTTATTCACCAAATATTATACTGCTAAAAGCTTTTATCTTAGACCACGACCAACAGTAAAATTCGGGGACAAGTGTCCATAAAAATGGTATAATTTTCATTTTATTGTTCGAGTGTCGCACAAGAATTATTTCTAGTTAGTATTAAATCATATTTATTTAAAAAGGCATTATGCCTAATTAGTGATTATTATTAAGTATTTCACTTACTTTTGTATAATTTAGCTACATTCAAGGACTTTTTTAATTTACTCTTACTGATTAAATAAATAGAAAGGTAAATTACTCAGAAGAATTCGTAAAGCTTTTTATACTAAATGCAATAGGTGGGTATAATAAGTTTTTTATCTGCACGGAGCAGACATATTTCTGTATCTATTTCAAGTCATTTATTATACTATGTAACTTATCTCAAACAATAAAGCTATGTTTTATGTTTCAACGGTTGAGCCACGGAGGTAAGTAATCACTATAAGAGTATTTAGCATGTGATTAGGCCAAAGAAGGTAATAAGTGTACTTCGGATTAGTCCGTGAAAAAAGCTACACAATCGGTCTTTTATCCATCATTGTTGGTTGGTAGTTTTTAAATATAATCAATTCAATAAATCGCTTTTAATTTTCGTTAATTTTGTATTTAGGTAAGTGACAAAAATATCTTGGTTGACCGGATCCTGAAACCTGAACTAAGATATGATTTCAAATTATACGATATAAAAGTGATAGCGTATCAGACACTAAGTATAAAAAGGTGATAATTAAATCGTAATCGCAATAGGTCAATTATTATTGGAATCATTGACAACTTACTGCGTTAAAAACGAACAAGAATCATTATTAAATGCATCAACGCCATCTATTGAGAGTTGTTAAAACTAACATGTAACTGTATTTTGAAAAGCTTTGTAGTTCTGGTAAGAGCTTTATCTACTTAAGGTGACATAATCTTATTGATCGTGAGTATACTAATTAAGGTATAAGAGTAATTAAGTTTAAAGTTCCATTACCGAACGATATCTTGGATTCAACCATTTAATTATGAATTTTCTCGAAAGACAAACAATATAACGTACCTATACACAACTTCTAAAAGCTAGTACTTACATAGTAGTTGGCTTCCTTGGTTACCGTTAAAATTAGTTTAGCTCTCTTTAAAAGCTGTTCGATTGATGTTAATACAATAATGGAATGAAATAGTAACTTAGGAAGAAAACAGCTTTAAAAAAATCTTTGTTGATCACAAATTACTAAGGATAGTCTAGAGCTTAATAAGCCATTAAAATTAGCGCATTATCCTACCGTAGTTATTCAAAAATGGCTTTTTAATTTAGAATTCCCGTAAAAAACAAAACAAGTAATTTGTGCATAATGTTTATAATTCGAACATATGCCACATGAAATTTCACCGATGATAATCGTCGGCCAATTCGATTCGATTTTTGAATTGGAGGCTTTTTTTCGTAAAACGGCGCCGAACGGAAAACTGTCAGTCAAATGCTGCATATTATTATTAGGGTATTGTAATCGTGCGTCCGAAATTTCGACACTTTTTAGGGTTCGTTGTGGGTTCTGCGAAAATTTTCGAATCGAAAATGACTAAATGTTAAGCCGATTTCAAAGACAATTTCTTCAGCATCTATTCCATTTTTTTCTTGAACATAAATATAGGATAGACAAACAATAAAGGCTTATAAAATTAGCGAAACAAGAAATCACTTGTCGACTTTTATTTGGAATATATTTCTTTCAAAAATGTCATAATTATATTATCATAATAAAAAAATAATAAGAAACATTAAAAATACTAGTAGTACTTTAATTGTTTTCTACTAATGGTATTTACAGTAAACTGCTCTTTTGTCAATCGACCAGACACACGCTTAGCCGGCTTAAATCTAATTGTATTATGTCTTGCGGCGGTAATTGTGTCCAAAGCTAGGCGGGCGTAAAAAAACTCACTTATTACAATAATTCTCAGGTTTTTTTGTTCGAAACTTGCCTTATCCCTAATCTTCTATTGACACCGTAATGAGACTAAAATATTGTACCGAACAAAAAATGCGTGGAGGCATTGCTAGACTTATTAGAATTGAGATTTTTTGTATTATTTCATTCAGATTGCGAAGACTGCGTAGATGAAACTTATTTATTATGTCGTATTTTTTAAATTATCTATAAAAGCTAATAAATATTTAAAGAATGAAAACATAACTGAGCTATCACAGTGTTTTTTTTTTAATTTTGAATATTTAAAACCAAAATAGGTCAACAACAAAACTTGTTCAGATGTTATATGACTGGGGTATCTATCGCACGTGTTATTTACTAACCCCCCTGTTTGTCTGTCCTTCGACATAAGATAATACTAATATTATTGTTCTAGACTAGTAGAAGATACTCTAAGATACTTAAGAAGAATTTTAAAGTGGTGTAATTTTGTTAAATAACTAATAAAAGTGTGTATCTCAAATTTTTTAACAATTTCCGCGACTCTATATTTTTCAAACTAACATCGGTTCCACACATTTTTGTCCCGTATCCGAGCCACCGGGCGGATTTGGTTCTTTGAAACTAATCAGTCTAAATAAGTAAATTGTCGGCGCTCGTCACGCAACCGACATCGACGGCCATGGGGTCTTGGATCCTAAAACAATTACGTAACTCTATTTAATATTCTAGGGATTATGACGTCTGCGCTACAGCTTCGGAAGCAAAACTACCTGCCTAGCCGTAGGATTAACAGTTACTTTGATTAAAGTAGATGGAATCTATATCTAATAATATTATAAAGCTGAAGACTTTGTTTGTTTGAACGCGCTAATTCCAGGAACTACTAGTTCGAATTGTCCAATTGTTTTGTTTTGGTTTGGAACAATTTTTTGGGGAAGGTTTAAGGTTAAAATATTCAGGTGCGCTGCGCAAACATTTCAAGATATGTATGATAGAATGATTCCTTCTTAAACGATCTAAAAAAT